TGGAAACAAGAAGAGGAGTGATTTGATTAGAAGGAGAATGGACTTAAGAGAGACTCGTCAAGTTCTTTGAAACCTGCATATACTCTCTCCGTCTTCGTCTGTGGCAGAGCCAGTCTCCTAACCTCCGTCATGTACCTGTCCGTTATAACAAAAATCATCGGCTTTTCAAAATCAGGACGGGCATAAACCAAACCGAATACTTGAAATGACAGAGAGAAACTTGCCTGTTTGCGGCGTTTGCGATCTTATCACGGACTCCTTGGTTAAGAACGGCTTTGTTCTCTAGCGCAAAAGAGCCGCCTAATATCAGAGAAGACCTCGTTGGACTCGAGCCCATTCTGTCTGATAATACAGACATTGCCCATTCAAGGAGCACCACCAGAACCGAACGAAGGAGTCGGATTCTTAGATTCGGGGATGGCACAATGGCTGTATTGGATAGTAAACGGTCATAAGCGTTGAGCACAGGTTCAGCTGCGCCTTTGCAGGCAGCTAGTAGAGCTCGAGCTATGTCTTCATCCCCAACATTTTCAATCCTCTCTTCTGATCTCTCCTGTAAAATAAATCCACAAAATCAAATTCCTGATGAAAATTATCAACATAACGAGAAGGGGGAGCTTACAAGTGCAGCTTTCTCGAGGTGGAGGCACAAAACATCGAGCGGTAAAACAACTCCATCGCCAGGATATATATGAGATCCGACTCTCTTGAGAACTGAACAGGCTTCAGCTATCCCACCTTGTGAAAGAGCTTGGTCAATGAGTCGATCCCATGTTTCCCTTATTATGCTTGAATCAGCATCACCAGTATAGTTGGCAAAATAGAGCATTTCCAGACAGATCTGCATATGAGTAAAGCCAGAAAGGCAAACAAGCAATGTAAAGAGAGCGTTCATAGAGAGTCAAAAATACTAACACTGAATCTTTCTTATTCAACCAGACTGATCTTATGATTTCCATTATAAAACAAGGATATTGATGCAGTGATTCTCAGCATGACCAGAAACATTCAACTGTCAACTTTGAGTTAAGTTTAGTATCAATAGAACCTACGAATTTACAGAATATCAGCTAAGTTACAGACAGGGACAGATAGTAGTGGCTTCTTTTGTTCTTATGGTTGGTTCTAGAAACCAGTTAACCAGAAACATGGTCCAAAACTACGCTGAAAATCGAGAATATATATGATAGATTATGATTTTTATACTTACCTCCCAGAGCTCAAATGGGACAGCATATTCATTGTACAACTGCGTTATGCTTTTAAGTTCCGAGGAGAGCTCCATGGCCTTTTCATTTGCTGCATTTGCTAAGCTGGAATCATCACTAGAACCACCATCAAGTACTTCCCCGTTCTGGTCAGAGTCCTGCATGGCAACAGAGAACTCGAGTTTGGAAGCCATAGCTTTGAGTTCGTCTCTGATCTTTATTTGGAACTGAAGAACTGCGAGTTTTCCTTCAAGCAGATCAAGCAACCCACTGTCAGAAGCACCTTGAGCAGAACCCATTAAACCATCGCTATTACTTGCATTCTTGGCCTGTAGAACTGCGTGACTAAGGTATTGTCGCCTAAATTCACAAGGGAGCAACCCATTAGCTATGGAAAAGGAAGATATAGTAGATGAATCAAAGTCATGTGACTTTGGGGTAAAATTTCAGATTGCTTACCTTTGTTCAAGGGTAGGATTGTCCCTTGAAATAATTGCACGTCTTTCTGCAAGCCTTAGAAGCACATGAGCAGCAAGCACATGCTGTCTCTTCGACACATAGTATTTCGCAAGAAGATCAAAGTATTTCGCTTGATCTGATGAAATCTGTGTTCCTGAATGACCCAGTGGAGATGAACCAGAAGAAACAGTCCCGACCTATGGCATAAGGAGACAAATGTGAATAATTCGTCGAAAGCAGTTGCAGTGTTTACCACTAAACCTGGCTCATTTTTGTTTCGCACTTAGTGGCAGACTGAGCCTACTTAAGATTTTAGCTATGAAGGTTTTTAGTGTAACAAGTAGATAAATCCCTGAACATTTATGGCCTTGCCTCATTTACTTGACAACATACGATGCAAAATCCTGACACCATAACAACAAAAATAATTTAAATGTTAACGAATAATAGCAAACCTCTGATGCAGAATGACTGCCAGCATTCTGGAGAAAAGGTACCAAATCTGGTCCACCGTACTCCAGGAGCTCGTTTTCAAGACCCAGTTCTAACATGGCCTTGTATAGATACTCCCGGAATGCTCTGTCAGTTGATTGCACACTAAGATGAACGATCTGGCATATATATTGTCTACGTGAAGCCTCATCCAATATGGCACTAGCTAGAGATCGCAAGGCGTTGGCGATAATCTCATAGCATTGTTTCCGCTGAGCAAGAGCATGCTCTCTAATGGAAGCATCAATTTGGTCATTGAAAGCATCGCCAGCAGGATCAAGAGCTTGGGCCTTTTGCAAAGACAAGCAGACAACAGCCTCATAGAACCTGTAGAAAATTATTGAGAGTGAATACCAAATAAATGGGATCTTGAAAAGGAGGGCAGCACTATGTTATCATTAAAATACATTTTTCGAATCATAATTTTTCGAATCATAAACTATCTTTACTGTAATTACGAAAGTATTTTGGGTAAAAGGGATTCAACTTTCCTTTGACTGCCACTAAGAATAAAAGCTTTAACCACAGGGAAAAAATTTCAAAGGGATTTAACGGACCAACGATCACAAACTACAACCAACCAAGTGTGCAGACATGTACTTGAATGGAAAACTAACCTCAAGTCCTCAAACCGTTTGCAGACAGTTCGAAGATCTGCAGATCCTGGGACTTTACTCAAGAAACTGAACGCCTCCCTAGCAACATTCTCCTTCTCATCAGCATCTGAAGTTAAAGCAGCTCTTTCAAGGCGTTCAACAGCTAAGAAGAATTTGTAATCGGACTCCTTGAAGTAACTTGGGCAACCTTCACGTAGACGCCCGCTAATATCATCAACTGTTCCCCTGCCATCTGAGCCAGTATAATACTGGGGTAACAATAGTGTAAGATTTAAGTCAGTGAATCAAAAGATTTAGAAAGAGGGCAGTAAGACTAATTTAAAGGGTGGCACCTCCATCACGGCAGATATGAGCCTTGTTGCAATTTGGTCGCCCTCTTCAGAGCAAACTAGCTGATGGAATGTCAACTGGACCAAAGCTTGTTTTAAGTTTGCGTCAAGCCCCTGAACTAATCTAGCAACATGGTGTTGAGAAAGAAGTTGGAGTAGGAATAGTGCTTCTGCAGATCTGAGAAGCAACTGCCTAATACACTCCATTGCCCTCACCTGCAA